TCCTGATTTATCATATATTTCCTAGTCACCTTCCCATAACTTACCTCCACCCAGGAGCCCCAAACTCCTTTTCCTTTGTCTACCCTCTTTCCCATGATTTTCACCCTTTCTTAAGATGACATATAAGTCTCCAATTCTGTTTCCTTGAAGCACATTCCTTTGTGAACCCCCATGTGTACATAGGTAATTAAATGTTTTTTCCTCCTGTTAATCTATTATCAGTTTGATTTGCAGACCCAGCCAATGAACTTAGAAGGGTTGAGAAAGAGTTTTTCTCTTTCCCTAAAAATTCAAGATTAGTCTTTATGTTATTTAGTGAAATCAAATATTTTAGAACAAGTAGGAGGCATAAATAATAAATTAAGTGTATTAAGTACTATGCACTAAATTAAGTTCCAGACAGTAGTGTATGTACTTCTGAATACTTAAAAGAACTATTATTCTTACGTGGAGATATGGGAAATCGGTGTCCAAATCCACTTGGAATCTAGGTCAAAAGATCTAGAATTCAGAAAGTTTTGCTCTTTTAAGTTTGATCATTCTTTCATTATGCATATGCCACATTCCTAAAGAATGTGGTCATTACAGAGTTCCTATTTTTTGTAGCTGACAGTACAGTATTTCAGGGTGGAAGTGGGATGTTGGGATGAGGTGGGGGCAGAGGTACATCTAATTTAAACATTTTTTTAAAGCCCTCTTTTTACCTATTAAATTTAACTAATCCAAGGAAGTTTCCTGTCCCGTCAATTATTCTTACCACACACACCCATGCTCATTTTCTCCTTGTAGCTTCCCTTATGTTGAAACACACAACCTCCCCCTTATCTCCACCTAACACTCCTTCCCTCTTCCCTGCTTAAACCAAATCCATACTATCTTCATGGCTAGGGAAGCCCCATCTCTTTGTCCAGGCTTCCTGGAATTCCTCTAACCCTTATTCAGCATTCTCTTCTTGAACTGATGTCCAGTTGGTCAAATTTCTAAGTGCTTACTCCCCAAATGAGATTAAATATTCCTCAAAGGCAACAGTCATTTCTCCTTTTGTTATTATGCATAGAGCAGTTCTTACATCCACGAGTTTAATGAATGCTAATTAAAGTTTGGCTATTTACCAAATATCCGTGTACTTCAAAGTGTGTTAGATGTTGACAGTAAAACTGTGAACTATACAGAGTTCTATTTCTTTCATCACACTTAAAAACAAAGGCCACAAACTCATGGTAGTGTTGGGTTGGTGTTTTGTTTGGCCAGTGCAATGTTTAAACTGTTCTGAATTAGAATAATTCTGAGCTGAACATTCACTCCCCAGTTCACAGGGCTCTCTCACTCCCTTGTGTCCAACACCTATCCAGCTTCACTAATTTATGTTACTTCCAGCCTCTTGTACAACATCTGAAAGGGAGATTACATGAATCCAAATTAGGCCACTTTGGCATGTGGATTATTTTGAGCTGAAGGCAACTGAGACCCAGCAAATTCAAGAAAAACTCTGACCTCTCCTTTAACTATTTAAAAGAATTTAGATAGGTCATTCAATGGGGCGCCTGGGTGGCGCAGTCGGTTAAGCGTCCGACTTCAGCCAGGTCACGATCTCGCGGTCCGTGAGTTCGAGCCCCGCGTCAGGCTCTGGGCTGATGGCTCGGAGCCTGGAGCCTGTTTCCGATTCTGTGTCTCCCTCTCTCTGCCCCTCCCCCGTTCATGCTCTGTCTCTCTCTGTCCCAAAAATAAATAAACGTTGAAAAAAAAAAAATTTAGATAGGTCATTCAAGTAAAAGTTATCTCCAGGCTCCCTATCTACATGACAGATCAAACACCTAATTGCCAAATATCTACTCCTATCATCCTGTGAATTGCTCTTCTTCCCCCTTTAACCCCAGATCCCATTCCCTAGCTCAGGATGGCATATAAGCCTCAATTGCCCAATTTACTATTGGGTCTCTTATGGGGCTCCTGTATGGATATAGTTAAATTTGTTTTTCCTCCTGTTAATCTATCTTATATCAATTTATCAGCAAAGAACCTAGAAAGTTAGAGGAAAAAATTTCTTCCCCAACACATCCTTGATTTTACAACTTTGAATTTATAAGGAATAAATTAATTCTTAAAGTACGGGCTTTTTTTCCTATATCAGATACTGACTAGAGTTATTTATTACTTCCCAAACTTTCAACATTATAATGTCATGATTGATTATATTTCTCCACCACTGAGTTGCTGCATACTGTTTATAGTACACTCACTATGGAAGACAGGATCCAGTTAAAAAAAAAATTCCCAAACCCAAGAGCAGATGGTATATTAAGTAGAGAAAGAAAACAGAACTGCTCAGCAACTATTTTGCTTTCTCAAAAGCAAATGATTTTTATGCAGGAAAGGACAGAAGAGACCTCATTAAGAGAGAACCTAGGTACAAGCAGAAGAAGTCACAACTTCTGGTGAATTATATTCCAGGGAAAGCCTGCATACAGAAGCACAGCAATATTACAACCTTTGAAAAAAATTAAGAAAGGGGCACCTGGATGGCTCAGTAGGTTAAACATCTGACTTCGGCTCAGGTCATGATCTTACAGGTTTGTGCGTTCAAGCCCTGCATCGGGCTCTGTGCTGACAGCTCAGAACCTGGAGTCTGCTTCAAATTCTGTGTCTCCCTCTCTCTATACTCCTTCCCTACTCTCTCTCTCTCTCAAAAATAAATAAAAACATTAAAAACAAAAACAAAATGAAAAAACATGAAGGAGGGACATCTCAAGAAGCCAGAGACTCAGTCAGTTTCTTTTCTCCCAGTTTATTTCAAACTCTGAAACAAAAGGAAATTTGAATCCCTAGGTATTGCAGACAAGTTAGTTTGACACTAATTTCTGGCAAAATTCAAAATTTAATCAGTAAACTGAATATTCTGAGGGAAAAGATTGGGGATTTCTAGGAACTAGACATTCAAAATTCACTATGAATCAGTCATTTTTAAACTAGTATCATTTACTTTTGTGATAGATTAGGAATACTCAAGATGTTTATTTTTAGCAAAGCATTTGATTAAACTTTTTCTCATGATGTCTTATAATGAAGACTGACCTACAGGCTAGAATAGTTTGATAAATAAGGCGGACAGTGCTAACTGAATTCAGCTGATCATTGATTTGTCTCAGCAATATCTCTCAAGGCTGACTACATTCCCAAGCAGGTCTATATCTGGTACTTTCAGTACATGAGTTTTAATTCTAATAAACATCCTGAAAAGTAGATATTACTAATATGACGTTATTGATATGGAAAATAAGTTTCCCAAGGTCACAGAGCTAGTAAGTGTCACCGTCAAGCTCTAAAACCAGCCTCCAAAAGTCCAGGGCCACTTCTACTGTGCCACACAGGCAGAATTCTAGGTGAGCCACCATGGCAAAAGGAACGGTTTCATATATTATTAATGGCTTGGATGTCTGGTGAACAAACTCACCAAATGTGCAGGTGACATAAAACTAGAAGATAGAATTAGCATGATGAATGCCATGATCAAATCTAAAACATACCTAGCAAACTGGAAATTGGAAGCTTAGTGTCACACAAGAGAAAAAAAAATTGCTCATGTTCAGGACATTTTTAACTGTATAATTAAAAAATTAATAAAGCCTACGTTGATAGCAATGTGTTGGGGGTAGGGGAGAGGGAGGGAGAGGCTGGTGGTGGTGAGGTTTTCAGTCAACTTATTACAAAAGCCAATTAAGTGTTAGATGATTTTGTTTGAAGATAGGAATTCACTGCATTTTGCACTGTTCAGATTAGATTGAATTATTGAATTCAATTTGGGGCTAAGGATCTTCAGCACAGAGAAAGGTCTTAAGTATGGAAGGAAACATAAAAGCAATGACTTTTTCGTGAAGATAACTAACATTTACTGACTTCTAGGTAGCTATACCAAGTAGTTTATGAACATTATTTCACTTAACCCTCACAATAATTGTATAGGTTAAGAATAATTCTATTCTTAACTCTGTACCACTTTAGACTTTTCATTTCTTTACTATTTTTTGGTCATAGACTCCTTTCAGATGGATGAATTTTAGATCCTCTCTGTTGAAATATTATCTATGTAATTTCACAAGTTGGAGGACTACTGACAAAAGTAAGCCTAATGAGAAACAGGTCCAAGGAAGCAGTGGGTCAGTTCAGTGTAAACAGAGCCTTATTAATGGCAATAGAAAGAAGGGATACCTCAAAAGTGGTGAGTTCCCTGTCACTGAAGTGTTCGATGAAAATGTGGCTTGTGTGTCAGAAATGCTACAAAGGAGATACTAACATGGATTAGAGGTTGGTCTATGATTTTAAAGTACCCCTTTTACTATAAGATTGTGAGCCTAATAGGTAATTTCGGCAATTTTTGTTTGATTGGCAAGATAAAAAAGTTAAAAACTGGAAATAATTGTTTTTCCAGATCGTTTTGCTGAACATGTCAAATAGAAGACGTAAATAATATTGTTTCCCATCTATATATTGATATTGGCTCTATCAAGTACTTGAAAATGACCTCATCCAAAGAAAAAAAAGGTTTATTCAACTGTTGATCTTGACGTGATTTATACTTAGTCATAATAAAAGTAGATTCTTTATTCCTCTGAATCCTTAATTACAATTTTGCTTCAGGTAAATACTGCATACACCAGATCCTAAAAAGATCCTAAAAAGATGTAGTCTTTAATGGGAACATTTACTAGTTTATAATTTTATGTTAATTTCCATAAAGGATGGGGAGAGGGCAGACAGGAAACAGAAGATAGACAACTCCTATTGTTCCGCTTTGCTTCTCGGATCCTTTAGCTAATGGCTGAAGGATCTTACAGATCTATTCCGATCCCCCCCCCCCCTTTACAGTATAATTCGCCCCAAGACACAGCCTCCCACAGCTCTAAAAGAGCACAAGAGCTAGTACTTTGCTCATCACATGTCATTCGGCGCACAAGCCTGACAGTTTGGCATACAAATTAAATGCTCATAGGCAAATCTTTTACCTGAAAATCTTCAGTCACTCTTCAGGTAGGAAGGAGAATGAAACTGCAGCTCAGAAATGCAATACCTCGGACTTGGGGCTCAGAACCAGGTGGAAGGGGTGGGGGCTAACTTCTCAATGAGGAGACGGAGACGTGAGGCTCTATCCGAGGCAGCTGGCCGCGAGAGGTCTGCTTGAATTAAAGTCGCCTGTAACTCCCAGGTTTCTGCCATTGAAAAACCCAAAGGGCAAAGCTGACGAGCCAAGACCGACGGACACACAGCGGTCGCCCACCTCCCAGGTGTTCACTTACACAGCACATCGCCGGGGCGGCTGCGTGCCCAACGCCCCTCCGGACGGCCGCGGGGCCGGGGAGGCATCCGGCATTGGCCGGCTGCGTGCGCTGCTCGGTCCCTGAAGCCGCCGCCCGGGGGGGCGCCGGTTGGCGTCAGGGCGGCGGGGTGCGGAGCGCAGCGCAGTCCGGCTGCAAGGCCAGCGGCGCCGCCTTCTCGCGCGCCTCACTCAAGTGGCAGCATTTGGAGGACGGGGTGTCCTTTGGCACGGCTCTGGGCTCTGGGCCCCTCCTCCAGCCGCCGTCGTCGCCGCCGACGCACCCGCCGCGCGCTCCTCGCGGGTTCGCGCCCCGAACCAGGCCAGCCGGGCCCCGCAGGTGGCAACCCAAGGGTGCTCGGCTCCAGCACGCGCCCTCTGCGGGCCGCACGCAAGTACAAGGCTGCGAGGACCGCCACCGACACGTCGGCTAGCGCCGGGTACAAGGCAGGGGCGGGACACCACCGCCCTCACTCCCACTATCCAGAGTGCTGCCGCTTCCCCAGAAGGAATTAGATCCCCAAATTTCCAACAAAACAGAAGTGAGCAGCTCACTTCGCTGCCTGCCCCTCCCCCGCCCCTCATCCGAACCACCTGAGCTGCTAACTGTTCTGGGCTCTGCCCAGGTAAGAGGAGGGAATGGTCTCTGAGACCACCGCACGACGGGCGGAGATTGCCTTGGGGAGAGCAGATGCTCGGCCCGCCACGCTAAGCGGGTGAACTCGCAGAAGCCTCGCCGCAGACTTCCCAGCTAAGCGATCTGGAGCTCAGATCCAGGCGTAGCAGTCAAACCCACTTTGACCTCAAACCCCACTTTGCAGGGCTAGGCCAAGGATTCTGCCCTTCCTAACTAGTTTGCACCGTGAGCATGCAGAGCAAAAGTGCTTGGAGCATTTAATCATTTAAAAGTACACATCCATTTTCTACGTCTCCATCCCAAAATACTCAAGAAGAACATTTTCCAAGATTGTTTCTCAAAACAAAACACCTCTAGCCAAACACCATTTTCTCGCTCTTTAAACTATTGAAGTCACTCTCTCAACACATGGCCATTATTCAGTTGTGTTTCCCTGTGCGTTCCACGTGGTGCCTGCATCTGCCCCGCATGATTCCTAGCAGCAGTAAAAGCCCCAAGAAGACTACAAAAGAACCATTATTTTAGTTGTGTTCTACAGTGGAGTGGTCATGCAAAATCCATGCTTGGAGAGACCTTACGGACAGCTTCACCTGACTCCACATTACAGATGAGGACCCTGAGACTCACAGCTGCAAAACTAAATGTGAAAAAGAAACACCTGAACCTACAAAGCCCACAATTTGTAGACTAACGTGAAGCTTAGGTCTCTAAAGATATAACATAGGAAAGAATATAGTTAGATTGCTGAGGAGTTGAGAGCATACATTATACAAAATCTAGCTCAGAATCTTTCAGATTTTAAGTGCACCGAGCATTCTTACTACTATGTTTAAATTAACTAAGGTGACTTTATATACAAATACAGTAGCCCAGAAATGCAATTTTTCTGCATGATAAAATGATTAGTGGAATTGCAGTGGGTACATTCTGACACAGAATGTGAATACACTTATGTTGATTTGTCTGATATGTATCAATTTTTAATGTATACAAGTTGATTATACTAATACAAGCAAATTTTAGTTCTACATATTTCAGGCATATCATGCTAAATAATTATGATCAAATGCCAGGATCCACCTTTAGGCCTAATTCTTCACTTAACCTATTTCATTACTTGCCTTTTTCTTTCCCAGCATTAAGCCTTTACCAAACTAGTGCTGGAATAATCCATGAGACCTCTGGGTTCCACACTGAGAGCTCAGTGTCAGCCCTTGATGTGCTCAAGGCAAGAAAAGAGAAACTTGGAAATTTGTGTTTCACTTCCCAGTTACCCCAGCAGAAGTGGGGGAGGAAAGAGTCTCCGGCCTTGCCTAGAAGAGAAATAGCTTCCCTAGGCGCACATCCTCTTCTTTCACTCAGTTCAAAGGTACAGTGGATCTGGGGCACCTGGGTGACTCGGCTGAGCGAAGGACTCTTGACTTTAGCTGGATTCATGATCTTAGATTTGTGAGTCCGAGCCTGGTATCAGGCTCTGCTCTGTCCAGGTTCTGCACTGACAGCACAGAGCCTACTTGGGTTTCTGGCTTCCTCTCTTTCTGCCCCTCCCCCACTTGTTCTCTGTCAAAATAAATAAAAATAAACTTAAAAAAAAAAAAGATACAGTGGATCATCTTTACCAAATGTTAGTTGTTCTCTGACCCTTTGGTCTAAAAAATGGAGTCATGTGGAAGCTTTGTGCTGGGCCTCCCTGTTCCCTGTGGGTGGCACTTGTCACAGGGGCTGTTGTTCTGGCCAGACCCAAGCCAGGCTCTCCCTCCATCATCCTGGGTCTGGCCAAGACACAGAAAAACCCGAAAGCAGCCCTTGCCACCTGTCTGCGCTGCCTCTCCAGATTGGCCTCATACTCAGAACCCCAAGTCTAAGGTGGTGTGGACCGGCCAGGCTGCAGACTAGCGGGGCCTTATTTGGGCTGCTGGCTGACCCCCACTGCTAGAGGTACTTGATTCACTCAGAACTAGGAAGGATGCAGGCCCTGAACTCACTGTGGCCGTGGGAGAAGCTGCTTTTGAGAAGAAACCTGCCTCCAACCTTAGGATGTCAAAAGGTAAGCAGAGCCTTGGCCTCTCCTCGGGACTGCAGGTCATGCTTTGGTCAATATGGTAAGAGCCAGAGCTAAAATGGTTCGGAGGAACCAAGCGCCCCCTGCTGCTGGGGCTCAAAAAGGCTGGCTTTTCCTCAAAGCCACCGCAGCCTGGAACTAGGAGCCAAGCAAAGCCCGGTATTTCTGCTCTCCTGTCATCCTCCCATCCTGGCTTGAACAAGATGGTTGAGGAGGGAACCCGGAGCTCATCAAATTGGTAGTGACACCGACTGTATGATTTTGAAATCGTGCTAAATAAAACTTTTAAAAACTGGAGAACAGGGGTGCCTGGATGGCTCAGTCGGTTGAGCAGCAGACTTCGGCTCAGGTCATGATCTCGCGGTTCGTGGGTTTGGGCCCCGCATCGGGCTCTGTGCTGACAGCCTGGAGCCTGCTTCAGATTCTGTGTCTCTCTCTCTCTCTCTGCCCCTCCCCTGCTCACGCTGTCTCTATCTCTTAAAAAATAAATAAATGTAAAAAAAAAATTAATAAAAACTGGAGAACAAAGTGAGAGAGGAAATGAAGGACCCCAAAGACAGCCTAACTTGAATGTGGTTAGGGTGAGGGAGCCTGGGCTCTAACAAATGTGCAGTGGGTTTTCTTTCTGAAGGGCATGGAAGGAAGCATAATTAAAACAGTAACAATAAAATACTAGAATCTGAGCACAAGCAGTCTGACCCCAGAACCCATGCTATCAACAGCAAAGAGGTATTAAGCTGGATTGAGGACTGTATGCCAGATAGTAACTTACCCTTGTAAAGAAATCCCATTTCCAGCCCAGCCACCTACAACACTTCCACTCTGGACAGTTCAGAGAGAGGTAGGTAGCTGACTCCCTCCACTGGTTTCTCCATCTAAACCCTGAGCACCTCTAACTTCCATTCCTGCTTCAGGTTGACCACTCAGAGCTTACATCTCTGGGAGAAGCAAGGGAGGCCATGCCAGCGAGGTAGAAGGAATCTTCTCTCTAAAAGAACTCTAACTAGTGAAATGATGTGACCCTGTCAGGAGAGATCTGGTCACCAGGACTCACCTGCCATTGGGGCTCTTACTAGAACACCAAAGATCAAATGTCTTCATTTGCTTTCTGATAACAAAGTGATGAGGACAGGACAAGTAGATGGCATAGTATGTGAATGTTCATATAGAGACTAGAGCATGCATGTCCATTAGAGAGTTATGGAAGTCACAGAAACAATTTATAAAGGATAAAAAATGAGGCAGAAAAAAATTGCCATTATGATACACCATCATGGGGTATAAACTGATTGACTAGCACACAGATAAGACCTATGAGAAACCTCATTTTGACATTTTGATTTTCATAATAATAAAACTATGTTAAGATAAAAATAATGCTTTTATTTTATGCATATACAAATTAAAATTGTATCTCCTCATTTCTCATAAATAGTCCACTAGTCCAGGGCGGGGGGTTGGGGGGGAAACCAACTTCTTAGTGGTTACTGGAAACAAGGCTATTTCCCACATATACTTTTCACTGATTCAGGTTTTATGAATTATTTTTTATGTTTAGGCTAAAATGGTCTCTCCAAAATATGTCTTAAACATGCTAAGATATTTTAGATTTGGCTGAGAGACCCAGATATCTCCTCTGAGTAGGCGACAGACATATTTTCATGTCAGGCCCTAGACTAGGGTTTTAGGATTCAAAGCTATAAAAAAAATTCAGCAGCAGAAGTGACACATTGATTCTTCAATTTTTTGTAGCCCAAGACACATAAACACATTTCTTGATGAAGAACTAGCTGTAGGTATGAAAATGGTGTCATCCTTCACTCCTGAAACTTTTTCTGCACTCCATGTAATACTCCTAGTTTTTCCTATGCCATAGCAGGCTTCAAAATCTTGTTATAAACCTTAATTACACTGTTGTGAAAGACCTATGCTTGGTCAACATTTTCTCGGAATCAAAGAGCAAATTATCAGATTACCTGACCAGCTAAATAAGTGCCAATATAAACCCACTGGGAGAATTTCCCATTTTAATATTTTAATATATATCTGAATATGTTTAAAAGTTCTTATGCCCAAAGTAAATTTTCAAAGCTTCATTTGAGGCTATTCTAGTCTTATTCATTATGTCACTGAAATGAGAAGTGATTTACATTATCTTCCTTATAGGAAAGTCAAGAATCCAATCACCCCTCAGAACTTCTCTTTTCCTGAGGAAAAAATGTTTAACTTTTTCTCACAGAATTTCCTTTACTCATGTTTGTCAGGCTTCACTAGACCCATTCTTGTTCTCCAGATGCAATTAAATGTCTGCCAATGCAAACTAGGGAAAAATTTCAAATAAGAGTTTAACTAGCACAGAGCATTAGATAGAGTATTAAGGAACAATATTTCCTGACTATGTATTATATAATCCAATTCTGTTCATTAACAATTAGACAAGTTGTCAACTGTGCCATAGGCCTATTTCTTCTT